TTCGTCCATAACCCGGCAAGAATGAAAACCGAAAAGCGCGTCGAAAATGCCGGATCAGAAGCGAACTCAACGAGAATAGAAGACCGCTTTCTCCCGCATTTATTAATTTTCCGGCCGCTCGAGATTGAATTCGTGTAAAGGGAACAAAGGGAAGCGCGCGCGCGCGCGCGACGGGGAACAACGCGAATGGAATATAATAGGAGGAGCGGAGAGCTAGGAAACGTTTAGCTCGTTGGAGAAGCTGTTCAGCCGAGGAAGAAGGAAGAGTCTTGTCCGTCCGGCCGTCGCTCAGCTCGGGCTGTCACAGCCTCGACGCGAGGCGGGCCGCGGGGATGAATAATCCATGGAGCGGCCGAAGACAATGTACGCCGTCCCACACAGGAATTTCAGGTGTTTCGGCTAACGAGCGATTTGCATGAAACAACGAGGACGGCCGACCGCGTGGAACGAGGACGAACCAGTTTCGGATCGGTCCCGGAATACATTCGTAACTCTTTAATGCGCGTAACCCGACAGGCTCGCTCGCGCCACCGCCACCCCTTCCTCTCTTTCTTTCTCTCTCATTCTCCCTTTCTCTTTCTCTCTCTCCCTTTCTTCTTCTTCTTCTTCTTCGTCTTCTTCTTTTTCCGCCTCGTTCCTCATTCTCGATACGGCCCAGCGAAAATACGCTAATTACGGTTAGGAGCCTCCGGCGTGTTACGAGCGCGAGCCTCGACCACCTCCTCTGAAAACGTTTCGCTCCGGACTCGGGACGCATTTCGTAATTACTATGCCGCATATTTGCGCACTTTATAGTTCTGCGCGCCTCAAACTCCGTTCTCGCGCGCACCCTTTCGCGGCCGCGTCGGTCGGAGTCGGCCGATTGTTAGTAATTTAACAGCAGATTTACGGGCCGCAAGAAACAGCTGTTTTATATTGGTTTATAAGAGTAATGATAAGACGTTCGTTCTGATTTTTCATGATAAATGTCTTATTCATTACTCTTATAAACATTTACGAGTTATTTATCGTTAAAAATCAGAATAAATAACTCGTCAGCCGATTGTTAGTAATTTAACAGTAGATTTACGGGGCGCAAGAAACAGCTGTTTTATATTGGTTTATAAGAGTAATGATAAGACGTTCGTTCTGATTTTTAATGATAAATGTCTTATCGTTACTGTTATAAACCAACATAAAACAGCTGTTTCTTACGCTCCGTAAATCTAGTGTTGAATCACTAACAATCGGCTGACGAGTTATTGATTCTGATATTTAACGATAAATAACTCGTAAATGTATCTTTACGATACGAATAATCGTAAATAAAAAAATTAGTGGCCCCTCCATTTTGACGAGTTCCGTAAATTTAGTGTTGATGTCAGGAAGCGTAATTCTTTATTGTTTCACGTATATATGTGGATTCTTTATGGATCGCGTAAGCGTTTTTATTCGTTTCTGACAAAATTGCTAATTTGCAGAATTGCAATTGTCTGGTCGCTGATGATCTCGCAGTTAATGCGACCGCGCTGAAATAAGTAAACTTATAATAGTAATAATAATAATAATAATAATAAGATAAAAAATTGATTTGCTCGTGGATGCACTTGTTTCGTAGAAAATATTGTTTATCGAGGTGAGATTATATTTAGATATTAAGTAACGAATTCTAGAGAACGAAAACACGGTGAGTCACATCGCTGCGAACGCTATTTCACGCACGCATGTTAAGCAGATGTCAATTACAAATGATTTATTAATATTCCGAGCGTGAAAATGGAGACTGTCTCAGTAGCTGCCGCGTTCGAATTAGACTTTTGATCGAGTTTCGCGGTAGATATTATTTTTTAAAGGAAAAACAGAGCGGTTACGTTGCGACTACCTCAGTTCATTTACGAATTAGCGTGACAAATCGTTAATTAAGTAGTTAGTCGTTGCAATCTCTTTGAAGTTAAGTAGAAAAATCTATGTTACTATAATTACACTGTGTGCGTTTGTTGGTCTTCATATTTTGTTTAAATAGGAAATATTAACGCTTTTACAAAATATATAATTTAATACGTTCAGCGCCGATAATCAACCACTAAAATTCCCATAAATGCAATTTAATTAATTAAACCGAAACTGGAAAGTGAAAATTTATCATAACGGATGACATTAGAACTCTTTCGCGTCCGAAAAGTCCTAGTAAAATCCAGTTTGTTCGAATATGTTACAATGAAAATGAATTTTCAAAATTGGTCAACAATTAGAGAAAAAAATTGAAAATATCAAAGTATGCATTATTTTTACTGGAAAGTCAAAATTTATCATAGTGGACGACATTAGAACTCCTAAATTCAGTTTATTCGAATATGTTGCAATGAAAATGAATTTTCAAAATTGGTCAAAAATTGGGGTCACCCATATTTCAGCGACGCGGCGCCCAACGCGTTAATAGAGAATATCACAAAGCATATATCCTTTTTAACAAGTTAACTGTTTACTGGAAAGTTAAAATTTATCATAGCGGATGACAATATAACTCTTAAATTCAGTTTATTCGAATACGTTGCAATGGAAATAAATTTTCAGAATTGGTCAAAAATTAGGGTCACCCATATTTCAGCGACGCGGCGCCCAATGTGTTAATAGAGAATATCACAAAGTATGCATCCTTCTTATAACCAGTTAGCTGTTTTCCGCGAGTGCACTCGTCACGAAGAACTGACGACATTTTCTGCCGCGCGGAGTATACTCGTCAGGAACAGCTAAAACTGGTTAAAAGATCGGCGCAAGCGACCCGTGATGCGATGGCGAGCGTCCGGCTTATCCCAGGATTTTTTACCAGGACACCCCGCCGTTAATTAGACGGCACCGGTGAATTTTCCCGTAGGTTTCCCGGGGAGTCCCGACGACGCGCGACGGCCGGATTTCCGAGAAACGCGGCAGTATCGCCGACAATTATCTCAGCCACCGACAGGTGGATGGGATTTCAACGCGGAAACGAAGCGATGGTCGAACACGGTGCGATAAAAACGCGATGCGTTTCCCTTCGCACGGAAATTGCGCGCGAAACGTTCTGTCACGCGTTTAATTCGCTCCCCTCCGGCCCCGTTCACGTTGCGAATTCCCCCCTCTCGCCGCCCCTTTTGCGACTTGTGCACGTCCCGTCGAATAATCGCACGAGGAAAGGGGACGTAATTAATTGTTTCAACAACGAAGTTGAAAAGGTGTTCGCGTACGCGGAACGTCAAACTTCCATAGAACCGGCTTCAGAGGAAGCTTCCTGTCGCTCTCACGATTCGTTTCCGGCTCGCCGGTGGCCCTCGCGTTTCCTAGCTCAATTACATCCCACCCAGTTCGTTAACGCCAGCGATTAGCGATGATTTCTAATTTGATTTCTGCGAACCGGACGGGGAGAAAATTAATTAAACCACACCGGGCCCCTCTCCCCGCTTCTCGTCCATTTCAGCGGCCTTGAGGTATTCCGCGAAGGCCGGAGATTCAAATGACGAGATTCTTTGTGAAATTATTCTCTATGCAAATAGAAATTTACTTTCCGTTTTAACAATTTCAATATTACGCTGTTCCGAAGATTCTAATTTTATCTGTTACGCGGAGAATACGTAGTCTAATGGTGAGCCTATTGCATTCTATTCTTTGAAATTATTCTGTAATTTCTCCCGGAAATGCCAAATTTCGGGTTGCTGCGAATTAACTTGTGCTACGCCTATGTAATTTATTGCTACGTCGATGCTAAGCGTCGACGGAGTTGGTCAAACTGTGATATGGAAAATCAATATAAAATGGTCTGTTTGGATGCGAATGAAGTAAGAAAAAATTCTCCCTAATTGACGCTCGGATTATGCACAAAATTGGACAATTTGGGAAGAAAAGATACGATTACTCTTGCCTCGGGGCTCAAATAATCGTACTTCCTCTTCCTGAATTGTCCAGTTTTGTTTACAAATTGTTCTAAATATCCTTGATTTAACTGCAAATCGAAGGGTTCAGGGATCATGAAACAAATTATAGAGGTTGGATTTATGTTTCTTTTTAAGATCTTGGAAGTTCGATGGTATAAATAAGGAACCAGAGAACATAGAAAACTGTTTCAGGGTGGAAGCCATATTTTTATTAATATCCTGTGAGCTGGAAAGGGTAGAAGACGTATTCGAGAAGACACATCTTTCGAATAAACAATGAATTATTCATTCTCTATACTCAATATACAGGATATCCCACAATTATGATACTTCCGAGAAATGAAAGATTCCTGAGGTCATTCGAAGCAACTTTTTCCTTTACAAAAATTTTCTCCGACGCATCGTTCACGAGTTATTAACGAAAAACAGTGACCAATGAGAGGCGAGAACAGCTGGCGCGAGACGGTGGAGTCAATGAGCGGGACTGCGCTTGGTGCGCTCATTGGCTGGGCGGCCTCGCGTCAGTCGGGCTCGCCTCTCATTGGTCAGCGTTTTTCATCAATAACTCGTAAACGAAGCCGCGGATTGCATTTTCGCTAAGGAAGAAGTTACTTCAAATCACCTCAGGAACCCCTCATTTCTCGGAAGTATCATAATTTTAGGAGACGCTGTATAATAATTTTTAGCAAGACGACAGACGGTATTCTTGTAACAGAGCAAATATAAATTATTTCTTGAGTTTCGAAGAAATGCGCCTAAGCGCATATTAATATTATATACTTTATTGTTCGACGTTGCTTGAAATTGTTTCTGCTTCGCATTATTGACAACAAAATCAAACATAATGCCTTCAAACAACGTCAAGCATGTATCCTCGAAATAAACCTCGAAATAAAAAGAATCAAACTCGATTCTTACTGTGTGTCGTCGCACATGGTGTCACAAACCTGAGGAAACGGGACTCCAATCGAAGCTTTGGAAACGCGTATCCCGTTCACTTTCAACCAACCAACGTTCGCTGGCCGATCGCGGGACAGTGCTGCCGGGATCATCGGAACCAGCCCTGGTCCGTTGTAATTAGCGATAGAAAAGAGAACACTTAATGAACGTTACCTTTGTCGCGGCGGATGCGTCTGCAAATGGCGCACATGCGTCGTCCGCAGTGCTGCCTCTCGGGCTTCTGCTCGGTGTCCAAGGTAACCATGTTTCTTCCCGAGTGTCGTCGATCAATGAACAATCGAAACGGATGCACGTGCGCGTGGTTAAACAACAGAGTTTATCTGATCTTCATGGGCAACTCATTGCGGCAATTATCAAGCACTGGGAACGGTCCAAGACAGCGCTTGGCCGGCACTGGGTGGGCCAGAGGCGACCCGGCTGGGCGACACTGACTAGAACGGAACGGTTCGCGACGGCGTTCGTCGACGAAACTTCGCTCCGCGCCACGTCACGTTCCTCGACGCTCCAACGATCGGCGGTCCCTGCAAGTCCAGGATTGTTTACCGATCTCGAGGAGCGGCCGTCGCGACGGGACGACGACGAGTCGTCGAGTCGACGCACGGCGTCGCCGAGCACCGAGGACACTTCGTAGAAGCGGTTTCGGCACTCGAGACTCCTCGTAGCTCGTTCTCCGCTGGTCACAGCTGCTCAAAACGCGGTTGCCTCGTGCTCGAGCCCTTAATTAATCGCGAATCGCTTAAACAATCGGCCGTTGTCGTCGCGACGCTTTCACTGGCCGCTTCTCGCGCGCAGGCGTCGCGAGTCCGCGCGGCGGTTCCGTTTCAATTTCACGCGCGAAATCGATTCTCGCCTTTGATCCCGTTTTTACGGCGACCGTCTCGCCTCGAGCCGAACCACTGACTAACCGATCGATCCGCGCACGCTAATTACGCCTAATCGCCGGCAAGCTGACGAATCCGCGGCGCGGCGCGCCGCTTGTTTCCGTGCGGATGCACGATACGCTCGCGGAAACCCCACTCTGCGGGATCGAATCGATCACCGAACGCCCCCTGCGGAAATTCCATCCGCGTTATTGGAGGATTTTTAAAGACGTTACTTAACGCCGGGAACTCGCGGCGACGCGGAATCGAGAGCGCGAGGAGATTTTCCTGCGTCGGATTACGCCGACGTTGGCGGAGACGCGAGACGCGTCAATCATCAATTAATCAAAAATGAACGGTTGCCGAGAATCTCGATTAGGCCACCGATTAAGAGGACATCCCGATCGAAGAGGTCGAAACGACAGTAATTACTGGCTACTGAGAGCAAGAAAAACATTCCGAGCGGAACATGCGAGGAATTATTGCGATGATTCGATCAGGCGTGGCCGGCCGATCTTTTCGACTCGTCTCTATCTCGCGCAGGGTACGCGGCGCGGCGCGGCTCGTTCCCGGCTCCTCGGTACCACGGTCCAAGTGGTCACGGCTAATTAAGCTTAATTCAATTTAATTAATCTTCGATCGGCCGTCCCTCTGCTCCGCGGGCAATTAGCGGCGGGGATCGCTCGGCCTAATCGTCTCAAATTAATAGAGTCCGGGACGGCGAGCGGAGCTGACTCGACTCCTCTTCCACCCCTCTCATCCCCCCTTACCCTCTTCCGCGCGCCATCGACAAGTCGCGACCCGTCGCGACGCGACGCGACTCGACGTCGCGTTTTTTTTCCCTTTCTCTTTCGCGTTCGTTTAGTCCGGGCCGGCGGGACGCGTGGGCGGCTCTCGTCGTTGCACACCGCGAAATTACGGTGAATTATCGACGGGCCGGGAAACAGCCGCGCACGGACGCGGTCCGTGTAACTTTCGAAAACGTGAGAGCCAGGGCTGGCCGCCGCCGGCTGGGCCATTCAGAAAAATCCCGCCGAGTGAAAGCCAGGCGAAAAATATTCACGCGGCTCCGTGGAAAATCTGCAGACTCGACGATTATTCGCTGATTTCCGTCGATTTTTCACGCGAAAAGCGGCGACCGTTCGAAAAATCGCCGCGACGGATGGAAGCAACGCGTATCTTCGCGATTGTCTCTGCGCGTTGAGAGGGCATCGACGAATTTTTTGCGACAGATTCGAAAGCAATTTGCGAGATTCGGAAATATTCACGCGGCTCCGTGGAAAATCTGCGGACTCGGCGATTATTCGCTGATTTCCGTCGATTTTTCACGCGGAAAGCGGCGACCGTTCGAAAAATCGCCGCGACGGATGGAAGCAACGCGTATCTTCGCGATTGTCTCTGCGCGTTGAGAGGGCATCGACGAATTTTTTGCGACAGATTCGAAAGCAATTTGCGAGATTCGGAAATATTCACGCGGCTCCGTGGAAAATCTGCGGACTCGGCGATTATTCGCTGATTTCCGTCGATTTTTCACGCGGAAAGCGGCGACCGTTCGAAAAATCGCCGCGACGGATGGAAGCAACGCGTATCTTCGCGATTGTCTCTGCGCGTTGAGAGGGCATCGACGAATTTTTTGCGACAGATTCGAAAGCAATTTGCGAGATTCGGAAATATTCACGCGGCTCCGTGGAAAATCTGCGGACTCGGCGATTATTCGCTGATTTCCGTCGATTTTTCACGCGGAAAGCGGCGACCGTTCGAAAAATCGCCGCGACGGATGGAAGCAACGCGTATCTTCGCGATTGTCTCTGCGCGTTGAGAGGGCATCGACGAATTTTTTGCGACAGATTCGAAAGCAATTTGCGAGATTCGGAAATATTCACGCGGCTCCGTGGAAAATCTGCGGACTCGGCGATTATTCGCTGATTTCCGTCGATTTTTCACGCGGAAAGCGGCGACCGTTCGAAAAATCGCCGCGACGGATGGAAGCAACGCGTATCTTCGCGATTGTCTCTGCGCGTTGAGAGGGCATCGACGAATTTTTTGCGACAGATTCGAAAGCAATTTGCGAGATTCGGAAATATTCACGCGGCTCCGTGGAAAATCTGCGGACTCGGCGATTATTCGCTGATTTCCGTCGATTTTTCACGCGGAAAGCGGCGACCGTTCGAAAAATCGCCGCGACGGATGGAAGCAACGCGTATCTTCGCGATTGTCTCTGCGCGTTGAGAGGGCATCGACGAATTTTTTGCGACAGATTCGAAAGCAATTTGCGAGATTCGGAAATATTCACGCGGCTCCGTGGAAAATCTGCGGACTCGGCGATTATTCGCTGATTTCCGTCGATTTATCACGCGGAAACCGGCGACCGTTCGAAAAATCGTCGCGACGGATGGAAGCAACGCGTATCTTCGCGATTGTCTCTGCGCGTTGAGAGGGCATCGACGAATTTTTTGCGACAGATTCGAAAGCAATTTGCGAGATTCGGAAATATTCACGCGGCTCCGTGGAAAATCTGCGGACTCGGCGATTATTCGCTGATTTCCGTCGATTTTTCACGCGAAAAGCGGCGACCGTTCGAAAAATCGTCGCGACGGATGGAAGCAATGTGTATCTTTGCGATTGTCTCTGCGCGTTGAGAGGACATCGACGAATTTTTTGTGACGAAAGCAATCGCGTGATTCGGAAGCGATCTGTTCGATAACCACTTTTCTAATCCTTCGCTTTCATTTGGGATTCGATCGGCGAAGGTTATTTAATCGGTAATAACTTCACGAGAGAGAAACCTATATCTTTTTTACTGCAAATTCAACAATTTCTGCGAAGATTAAGCATGATAGATCGCGCGGAATAACACTTTATTTCGATCCCGAATAACAGTCGAATTTATTAGCAATCTTCGATGTTGCGGCAACGCGGTTTCCATTCGATGTTGATAATATCCGATCAAATCTTGCATTTTGTCTTAATTGCGACTTCGATCTTGATTGAATATCAGTCTTAGTGGTTGAGGGAGAGCACGTTTAGCTCGACGAACGAGGAGCGAGGCGCGAACCGGCGACGCAAATGTTCAAATCGCCGGGAGATCTCTCGCCGCGGACGGAGACTTCGATGCCTGACAGCCTGGACAAGCGATGCGCTCGGTCGGCGCGCTGCGGCAACGCTTGTCACGAGCAACGCAGATTATGTCACAATTTTAGCATCGATACAACCGAGGACACTCGCGCTAAGATAAAGTAACAACAACCCGTGTCGAAGATACGAAGCTCGAAAGAAAACAATGACAAAATCTTGCCGAAAATAGCCGCGATCGATTCCGAAACATTCATCGCTCGAAGTGAAAGGTTCTTTTTTTGCGGAGTTATATTAATTACACGGCCCCGGTAGAATGCGTAAAAATATTCTCACCCCCGCAGGTGAATATCCCGGGCCCAGAAAGAACGTGTTTCGTGAAACGAAAGATCGTTTTCTTTTTCTTTTTTACGCCGGCGCGGCGAAGAAGCGTTTCGCCAGCAGCGCGGTCGTGGCTTTTCGTCAACGGGTTTAATAACCATCATCATCGTGGGGACATTAAAACGGCTGCGGTTGGCCGTGGCAGCGAGAGACAGCGACAGTGAAAGTTGACAAAACACACGGCCGAGGCGCACGGCGCGCGGCGGGCACCCACGCGCGTCCATTTAATTAACACCGAAATTATTAAAGCCGCGATCTCACGGAGATACGGGAGTCCCTGCGCACTAAATAATCGCCCACGTGATCGCGCCGATTTTTCTCGTCAGTCCTGCCGATCACCTATTATGCACATTTTTAATTGTCGGGCGTAGCTTCGGCCGCCCACCGATCTCCACGTATCTTACCGCGTTTACGAGCGTTACGTTCGACGCGCGTCGCCATCCGTCAGAGCGACGGTTTCGCAAAAACCTGTCGCCGAAACGTCCGGCACACGGGCTTCCACGTTTTTTTACGGATCGTCTTTTATCGTCGGCCGTAACGATCGAGAGATCCGCGACGCCCACAACCGACGTATGCTAATCTTATCGAAAGCCCCGGAACCTTTTCGTTTCGGTCGCGTCGTCGATTCGCGGTCGACGCGGAGAAACGTTTCGTCGATCCGACGACATCGTGCTCGACGAGGATAGCGCAACGACAGGATAGGATCGCAAATTGCACGAACTGGCGACACGAGTCGGATAAAAAATGGCCGGGCTTTTCATTCGTCCGCGCAACTTAATAAATCGGCCGCCGCGCCGGAGAAAATCATTCTCCGTTTAACTGTCGTAAAATAATCTATAAAGCCGGGGGATTTGCGTGCCGCGGTCTACTAACGATCGGTTTACGATCGCACCGGTTCCAACGATGTTTACATTCGCCGGATACAGCGCGCCGCGAGTTTACAGGGCCGCGTGGAAACGTTGAAACGGGACTCGGTGTAACAGAAACGTCGATTTCATCGGATTTCATTTTCTCGGATTGTTCCGTTTAATTAAGATAGTGAAAGATCGTTGCACAATGCGTCGACACGTTTCGCGAAAATTCCAGCAAAACTCTGGCAGAATTTATTTGTCGGCCGGGATCGCACGGTTTCGCATTAATTAACCTGTCACCTGCCGGATTTTCTTAGCAATATTTCAGCCGAACGAGCCATTCCAAACGTTCCCGAC